ACCAAACCTCTTCATGATTTTGTTGACCATTTGAATAGTTTTTGTGAAAGACGAATCTGTTCCAACTCTGCAGCAACTTCTATCATCTTTGGCCGCTTTCTACCACTCAAGCTCAAGCATCAATATGCAAGTTTAGCAACCTTTGTTATCTCTTCGTGTGCAGAAGTCTCCCTTAATTGAGCATCAAGAATATTAAAGAGACTATTCTCATCCATGGAAAGAATGAAATGAGAGGCCAAACATCTTGTTTCCTCTTCCTCTGCTCCTGCTAAAGAAATTGGTTTTTCTCCAGTTAAGAGCTCAAAAAGGATGACTCCAAAGCTGTAAACATCACTTTTTTCTGTAAATTGACTTGACTGGAAATATTCGGGGTCTAGGTACCCAAATGTACCCATGACATATGTGGTCAAATTAGTTTGATCAGTGGCAATTGATCTCGATGCCCCAAAGTCTGCAACTTTTGCCTTATACTTTCCGTCCATTAGAATATTTGAGGACTTAACATCTCTATGATAAATGGCAATGGAGGCTGCTGAGTGCAAGTAGTAAGGTTCACCTGCAACTTCTGCTGTAATTGTTACTCATCTTTCCCAGGTTAATGGGAAGGCCTCATTTTGATCATGTATATACTGGAAAAGTGTTCCATCGGGGATGAATTCATAAACTAGCAGAGGAACTTCAGTCTCCAAACAGCGGCCTAATAACTCAACAATGTTTTTGTGATTAATGTGTAAGAATGACCACCTCATTGATGAACTCTTTAACTTTCTCTTTGTCCAATTCTTTGGACTTCTTAACTACAACAATTCTTCTATCAACCAACATTCCTTTATAAACAATGTCCTGGCCTTCCTGACTGAGCATTCTATTCCTGTTGCATTTGTTAGTAGCTCTCTCCAACTGCTCTGTACTAAATATTTTGGTCTTTTCAATATTACCCTCAGTTGAAGACTTTGTTGCTGCAATAATAAACCTCCATTTTGTTTGAAGAACTGCCTTTGAAGCTTCTTTTTCATTTTCTTC